AAAGCGCGTCATAAGCATATTCGCCTTGCGCTTTGGCAATCGCGTCGAAATTTATTTTAATTTTCAAATCGTCCAAATACTTCGGACGAGCATCATATTTTTCAATTGATCCGCCTGCTTCTTCATTAGAGTCAGGATTTTTTTCGATTAGATTTTCAATCTGTTTCGTAATTTCCGGTAATGCAGGTGCACCGTCTGCCGTTGAAAACTTTATTCCTTGATATTCCGGCGGATTATGCGATGCCGTAAAATTTATTCCGCCAACCGCTTTTTCACTTCTGATTGCGTGTGAAATCGTTGGGGTCGGTGTCGGATTCTGACAAAGCAAAACTTGAAACCCTTCTTTTTCAAGAATTTCAGCGGCAATTTCACAAAACTTTTCGCCCATAAAGCGAGAATCGTGTCCGACAATTATCTTCCCACTGTTTTTACCATCAATTTTCAAATAACTGCTTATTGAACGCGTAACCAATTTTACATTTTCAAAAGTAAACTGATCCGCTATAATTGCTCTCCAGCCTGATGTGCCAAAGCGTATAGACATAAGTATAATTCAAGAAATTCTTATTTCTTTTTCTGTCAATTCTAAAACTAATTCTTTTGGGGCTTTTTATTCAACTTAAATGACAACTGCTGAACGTGCTTAACAAACAAATCTAACTGGATATTACTTTTGTTTTCTACCGATTATTCTCGATAAGGTGTAGAAAACTTAACATAATAATATTCATAAGTAAAGATTTACTTTTCACACTTATTCCCTTTATTTGCAACATTTTGCACCAAATCCTTCAAGTAAGAGTTAAGACATCTGCTTAAAAGTGAACACTAGGTGAACAAAAATCCGATAAACAATTTCGACTCTGATTTTTTCCAATAATTTATCGGTAATATAGTCAAATCAAGTTCGCTTACAACTCTTATAACTGTGGAAAAATTAAGCATCGGCTTAAAAACATTAAACTAAATAAATAACCTGAAATTGAAAATAAATTGTAAAATAGATTATCGTCTTGTGTCAAAAACTGCTTTAATAATTATTAGTGCAAACCTTGTGTCGCAATGCTACACGCTTTCTATTCGAGAATTGTGCAAATTTTACCACAAATCGTTTAATGTCAGCTTTTACGAGAAACTATATACTTAAGGCACAAATCTTGCTACTAAAAATTAGTAGTTATTATTCATCAAGCTACATCCAAACCTTTGAATTTATTATAATTTTACTGCAAATTGCTTAAAACTTTTATTGTTTGGAGTAATTTAAGAGAGAAATATTAAGGTAATTATGAGAACTGTAAAACATTTTGAAAAAGGACTGACTTACGTTGCAGGCGGCATATTTAATGCAATTAAATCAGTCAACAAATATAAACCGAATCCGTCATTTACGCCCAAATGGGCTGATAAACCGATTCAAAAATCGTGGGAAAAATCAAAACCGACGCTCGGATTTCCGCGCACGACAGATTCGCTTTGTCCGAACTGTGTCATTGAGGCACGCGAGGAAATCTTAAGCAATCAGCGCGACGTTTCGACATTGATCAATGATAAGGTCGGCGAGATCAAAGCGCAGATCATCGAACGCGACGGACAAATCTGGATGATTAAGGATTGTCCCGAACACGGACATTTTGAAGATTTGATGGCGATCGATTCGGCGTTTTTAAAACATATCGAAACATTGTTTCCGGGACGCGATATGCGTTCACACAATGATGAAAAACTGCATAATCACGGTTCTTCAACAATTAAATACGGACGCGGCGCGGTTTTGACGGTCGATCTGACCAACCGCTGTAACATGATGTGCGACCCGTGTTTTATGGACGCGAACCAAGTCGGTTTCGTTCACGAACTGAGTTTTGAAGATGTGAAAGAGATTCTCGACAACGCGATCTCGATCAAACCGCGCCGTCAGATGTCGGTGCAGTATTCGGGCGGTGAGCCGACACTTTCGCCGCACTTCTTGGAAGCGGTTCGTTATGCACGTAAAGTCGGTTACAACTCGGTGCAAGCCGCGACGAACGGTATCGAATTCGCTAAATCGAAAGAATTCTGCCGCGAAGCCGCTGAAGCGGGTTTGCGTTTCGTTTATTTGCAGTTCGACGGTATCGGCAACGATGCGAACTCGCACAGACAGATCGGCAACTTGTTCGACGTAAAACTTCGCGCGATCAACAATCTGCACGAAGCCGGCGTTGACATTATCCTTGTCACAACGCTCGTCAACGGCGTGAACAACGATCAGGTCGGCACGATTATTCGTTTCGCTCTGGAAAATCCGAAGAAAATTTCGTTCATCGCGTTTCAACCTGTAAGTTTCACGGGACGCGACGAGCATATTACCGAACAACGCCGTCTGCAACAGCGTTATACCTTGTCGCACTTGGCGCAGGACGTGCAGAAACAAGTCGGCATCACCGAACCGACGCGTGATTGGTTCCCGCTTTCATTGATGGGCGCGTTTGCCGATTTCGCGGACGTGGTTCACGGACCTGAAAGCGAATGGGGACAAGTTTCGTGCGGCTGTCACCCGAACTGCGGTGTCGGAACGGCGGTAATGATTAATAAGGAAACCAAAGAAATGGCTCCGGTTCCGCAATTCCTGAACATTCAGGGGTTGGTGACGGATATGCAGCACATCACCGACACGAATCGCGGCAAATGGTTCTCGAATATTATGATGGGCTTGGCGTTGTTGAAAAATTACAACCCGTATGGCTCGCCCGACAGTTTGACGCTTGGCGGAATCTTGAAGAAGTTCGATAAATCTTTCGGTTTGTCGGGTAAAGATTACGGCAAGGTTTCAGGAGACCGCACGGCGGCAGACATCGAAAAACGCCGTCAAGACCCCTGGAACTTCCTGTTCATCGCGGGAATGTGGTTCCAAGACCTTTTCAACTAC